GGAGAAGCTTTTGGGAGAAGGGCTTGCGGGGTTTAGGCTTCAGGGGTTCGGGGTTTAGGGTTTAGGGTTGCGGGAGACGTAAGAGATGCCGGGGGGGGGGGGGGTGTAGAGTGTAGGGTTTAGAGCTTGATGTAGGGTGTTTTAGTCATCTGCGGAAGGGACAGCCAAGCGCACGCCTGGAAAAGTGTCTACAAGCATCGCTAGGAGACTTCCATCATCACCATCATCATCACCACTGTCAGTGGCACCATCATCAACATCCCTCGACCGTCTCCATCACTATCAATGTGGCGTCATAACTCATAACCAGCTTTGGTATCATCAAAATTCGTGGTGATGCATGGCGATTGAGCCATCCCTACCATAACTGTCATCTCCCATATCATGCTTCCTAATGGCAGCAGCCGCAAGCACTTCTGCCCTCTAGCCTTGCTCACTTCTTCGCGCTGGGGTACCGCAGCTTTCTGAAACATCCAGTTCCGGGTTCTTTGAAGAAGGCACAAGGGACTTTGGGAGATGAGCTGGGCTCCGGCACTGCTACGACTAGGACTCCTACTTTTGCTCATCATGATAATGATAGTAGTGATGATACTACGACGACCACTACTGCTTCGATGGCGCCTCTATGCCCACTGTCAGCTCGGGAACTCCTGCACCCAGAAGTCCGGACCACCAAACCAGACATGTAGCCTAAAGCCAACCTCTGCCCCGAAAACCTAAACCCCGGACGCCCCCACCCTGAGCCGAAACCTCTGATGCCACGGCAAGAAGCTCAGCGAAGCCTGGCCGCGACATCACTGCTTCTGGGCATGGCCGCTCTGCAGATCATGTTGGTCTTTCTTCCCCAATAAGCCAGGGAAATAAAAGGTTAAACTTTCAGAGTACTACTAAATCATAAGAACTCAAAAAAAATCAAGGTTGGATATTGGGGGAACTAAGTGGTTAAGAAGAAGCTCGCAGTTGCAAAAACAAGCCGGAGACAGAGGAGAAACAATTGACCGCAGCAACACGCAGACTGGTAATGACGCCGTGAACGGGGAGAGCATCCAACATGCTAAGATACACGACGACAAATAAACAGCAGAATGATGTGGATCATAAGCATGGTGGTGTGGATTGTCATCACGACCATCATCATCAGCAGCGGCGGTAGCATCAGCAGCGTCCCTATCCACAGGTGCCTCCAGCGGTGGCAGCTGCGTTTGCTCGGCCAGCTGGACCCAGAGTGTTTCCGGATCCTGCGCAAATCAGGGCTTCTGGGTCTGTGTTTTCGAAGGAGCAGGGATGTAGAGGTTCGAGACTTACTAGGGAGCGGGGTGTGAGATTTGTTCAAGGATTCACGCTACGGCTTCAGGCGGCGCCGACCAGCGACTGGTCGTAACTCTCAGGACAAAACGATAAGGCCTCATGTGCGAAGCCAGACCCAAAGACCTGTCCTTCACTTCCAGAAATGCCAAGCCACGGCGAATGCGATGCCCTGAATCAAACAGGCTCCTGGCTGGGCATCTCCAAGACCTGCAGAGCACATGCAAACTCGAAGCAGCATTGCGGCTGTGTCTTTCCATCTAACATCTCGCCAATTATGCAACAAACAATTTCCTGGCGGCAGCGATACTATCTTCTAGTAACGACAAACCTTCCTGGATCTGGCATCAGCATCGCAGCCCTGATACCGTTCTGACCAGACTCCGCGCCTCTCCAAGATCCACCTGCATAGTATGAACAAGATCACGGACATGCTGCTAACGCACAACAGGCAAGAGTCAGTGGGCTTCAAGCACTCCGCCCGACTGGTGCTTCGGCAGCTTTCCCTCTTGAATAGACAGAGCCTTACGCCCTGGTACGTGCGGTGTGAAACTGCGAAGATCCGCAAAGTATTTCGTGGGGCCACTAGCCCAAACCCTCCAATCGGCCCGAGATACCAGGTCTGCAGCCAAAGACGGGAGGGCATCCAAGAGCTTCACATGGAAGGAGGCCGCTACCTCCAGATATTCAAGTATTGGGATTGTGGCAAACTGGTGAGTCTCGCCCCACAACCAGGATACGCACGATACATGCATGCACGGCACTGCACATTCGCACGCAATCATGTACGCGCGTGGTCATATCTACATGCGCATGCTCAACCGGAGTCTCTTGTCTTTTTCGAGAATGCACACGTGCATCTATTCAACACCCTGGCGCGCGGGAATGGAAACAGACAACTCCCAAACTGCAGGATGCTGAAGCAGTTCTGGGCCCTGTAGTGTATCTCAACAAACTGAGCCGGGATTCTGACCTGCTCGCAGGGAGAAGCTCCACATAGCAGGCCGAAACCAGCACAAAGGGAGCACCCCGAAACCCTCAACCTGAACCACGAACCCCTATCCATAATCCCGCTTAACAACCCTCAACCCTCGGCTGCCTTATCAGAATTGCTCGAAGTGCAACTACGATATCGGCTACATGCTGGACAAGTTCAAGGAGAACCACATTTACATGTTTTGCAAACGCGGCCGCCGTGAGTGCCGCGTTTGCAAAACATGTAAATGTGGTTCTCCCTGAACTTGTCCAGCATGTAGCCGATATCGTAGTTGCACTTCGGGCAATTCTGATAAGGCTGGCGACTGTTGGAGGTGCTTGGCCTCAAAGAGATCCTCAGCCATCTCTTGGGTTGCATTCTTGATACCCTTGATATCATTACAGGCATCCAACTCCGCCTGCTCGCGGTCAATCTTTCGCTTCTGGGTCTCCAGTTTGGCCAACTCCTTGTGGGCCTGTTGGTCGATCATGACTTTGCGGC